CCACTTTGATAGTGATTTCCCTACCACAGGAGACTGGTTGGGGAGTCCTGAACCCCTTAGCCGGTATCTTTCTCATCAGCTAGCACTGGCCGCCACCAGCCCGCCCTTCTCCCTCACCTCTCCAGGGTGTACCTGGAGCAGCTGTTAAAACTCTTTAAGCCGTGTAACCCTTCTGACAAACCCTTACTTAGATGGAATCCCAGTGTATAGAACAGATGAATCTGTCACCTAACATTAAATGTTTTACAAACTAGAATGTATTAGAAATTCTATTTTTAAAGACAACCAACAAGCACATTTTGTAGGAATCTATTTTAATATTTACTCAACAGATTTGAGTGTGTTGGGCCTTCAGAAATATATTTAATATTCCCCAGTGTTGTGGTAACCCTGGAGCCTTCTGATGGAGCAGCAGGGTCCCTCTGGAAGCTGTTTCTCCTGCCCGGAGGGTGACCAGCGGAGTGTGGGGGGTACTGTGGGGTGCGGGCCAGTGGCCTGGTCTTGGTCTCAGCCGGTTCTTTTCAGGTGTGTACCAACACGTCACCGGAGAGATGATGGGCGGCCATGCCATCCGCATCCTGGGCTGGGGAGTGGAGAACGGCACACCATACTGGCTGGTTGCCAACTCCTGGAACACTGACTGGGGTGACAATGGTGAGTGGCGGCCCCTTCCTGTCGAGAACAGGGAATTGTGAGCCACACACAGTGCCCGTCTCGGCTTTCTCTGTTCTACCTGCTGCACAGCCTCAAACCCTAGACCTAAGGCCAGGCTGTGAGCTCCTCCTATGTGCCAGGCACCCAGGAGTTTCCTTTTGCTGCAAGGGCAGACCCCGAGCAGCTTCAGAGCCCACGCCTGCCACAGTTCCCACAGCATTGCGCCAGATGCCGTGATGGGGGCGGTGACCGGGCAGGAGGGTTGTCAGTGGAGGTGTGCCCCACAGCTGCCTCCAGAAGCCTCATGGTGCTGAGGGCTGTGCTACTGGGCAAACAGCAGGAGCTGCCAGGGATTGGTGGTTACTCCCAGGTCTTTTAGGGATGAGTCTGAATATATTGATTGACCCTTGTCACACTTAAAAAGCACCTTACTTTTTATTCCCAGGCTTCTTTAAAATCCTCAGAGGACAGGATCACTGTGGAATCGAATCAGAAGTGGTGGCTGGAATTCCACGCACCGATCAGTACTGGGAAAAGATCTAATCTGCTGTGGGCCTGTCCTGCCAGGCCTGGGGGAGTTTTCCCTGAATACAGTCAGGGATCGGGGTGAGATGGGGGTAGAAATGCCTTTTATTCTTTGAGTTCACGTAAGATACAAGTTTTAGACAGGGCTTGAAGGACTGGATTGGCCAAACCTCACATCAGCCATCAGAGCTGTCTTCCAAGGAGACACACCCCAAATCCTGGCTACATCCCAGCCTGTGGTTACAGTGCAGACAGTTAGGCCATGTGAGCCACTGCTGCCAGCACAGCACGTCCTCCCCCTATAGACCAGTGCCACAGGGAGTGCCTGCTGCCCCAGCTGACTGTGGCCCCCTCCCCGATCCATCCATCTCCAGGGAGCAAGACAGAGACCCAGGAATGGAAAGCGGAGTTCCTAACAGGATGAAAGTCCCCCCATCAGTTGCCCCCAGTACCTCTAAGCAAGTAGCTTTCCACATTTGCTATAAGATCAGAGGAGAGATGGTGTTGGGAGCCCTTTGGAGAACGCCACATTCTCCCAGACCCCCTGCATCTATCGAGTTTGCAGTGTCACAACTTCTCTGATCTTGTGCTCAGCATGACACTTTTTTAATAGAAGTCTTCTCTTTTGTGCACTCTGCTAATCATGTGGGTGAGTGAGTCGAACAGCTGGGAGCACCTGTGCTAGTTGTACAGATTGCCTCCTAATGGCGCGGCTCAAAACGAAACCAAGTGGTGAGGACTTGTTTCTGACCCACTGGTCTCTACCACCACAAGGAAGCTAGTTTAGGAGAAACCAGCTTTTACTGTTTTTTAAGAATTACTGCTTCACCCTGTCAAGTTAACAAGGAATGCCTGTGCCAATAAAAGGTTTCTCCTTCATCTTGAAATCGACTCTGATGGGATCTCAGAGATCATTTGTCACTGCCTATAGACTTGTGGCTGCCGTCTATCCTCATCCCTGCAGAGAATTACGTCCTGGAACTGCATGTTCTTGCGACTCTTGGGATCTCATCTTAACTTCTCGCTGCCCCAGCCATGTTTTCAACCATGGCATCCCTCCCTCTTAGTTCCCTGTCATCCTCGTCAACCTTCTCTCTAAGTCCTTGGTAAGCTTGCCCTTGCTTAAGAACTAACAACACAGCTGTGCTCTGTTTGTTGTTGTTGAGAGAATCTCTGTCTGTCGCCCAGGCTGGAGTACAGTGGCGCCATCTTGGCTCACTGCAACCTGCGGCCTCCTAGGTTCAAGTGATTCTCCTGCTTCAGCCTGCCGAGTAGCTGGGATTACAGGCACTCACCATGCCCGGCTACTTTTTGTATTTTTAAGTAGATACGATATTCACCATGTTGGCCGGGCTTGTTTCAAACTCCTGGCGTCAGGTGGTCCACCTGCCTCGGCCTCCCAAAGTGTTGGGATTACAGGCGTGAGCCACCATGCCTGGCCTCTCTTTTTTATCAGCCACAAATCCAGTAGCAGCCTGAGGATTCAGCTCATAAAATAGGCCTGGTGTCTTGGTGATCTCACATAACCAAGATGCCATCCCGTGGAGAACCACATCCCCCTGGATGCCCTCCAGTCTTGGTTTGGGCTGGCGTCAGAGCCTGTATACAGTATTTTGAATTTGTATGCCACTGGTTTGCATTGCTGGTCAAGAACTCCAGTGCTTTGCATAGCCCTGGTTTAGAATCCTGTTACAGCAGTTCTTGGAAAGAACTGTGCAGAGGAAACTAGAAGACCCAGCAATCATTCCATTGCCCTGCCAAGGTACACCTCAGTACTCCCCTTCCCAACTGAGGTGGTGTGGGGCTAGCTCTTTCCAGAAGCATTGAAGTTTGGTTTCTGATGTGACTCACAAGTTAGGAACCAGAAGCTACATCAAATAAGCTCTGAAAATCTGAGGAGCATTGTAGGAAAGGTTATGCTCATCATGGCACTTAAGAGATGCTTAACAAAGGTTACCAAAGCCACAATTCATAACCACTCACTCATCCGGTTTCAACTAGAGTATATTCATAACCTCAATAAAGTTTTACCTGCTCCCAAACTGAGTTGAATCATTCCACGCGCACTGTCTCCCTCACCTCCATCGTCTCCCCACCTGCAGCTCCCTCCCTGCCTCTGCATGGAGCCGGCGGGGATGGGCTAGTGACAGAAGGAATTGTGGGGCATCTCGACCTCAGCTTAAGGCTTTGTTAGAAACACCTGCCTTGCAGTGTTTGTGACTGGGACAGAGCCCAGTGCTCTAATGCACCTCAGATCACCCCAATGGTCATCACTTTGTCACCTCAGTTCAGTAGTTTCTCCTGGATTCTTGTCCAAGTGACATGACGGGTGGAGGTGACAATGCCTTTTCAGTCTTTATCTAGACTCTCCAGAGTCACTCCAGAATAGAAATTAGAGTATAGGTAGGCAGTCCAACCTTTGCCTTTTAAAAAAAATTTGAGATGGAGTCTCGCTCTGTCACCCAGGCTGGAATGCAGTGGCGTGATCTTGGCTCACTGCAACCTCTGCCTCCTGGGTTCAAGCGGTTCTCCTGCCTCAGCCTCCCAAGTAGCTGGGATTACAGGCATCCGCCACCACACCTGGCTAATTTTTGTAGTTTTAGTAGAGACGGGGTTTCGCCATGTTGACCAGGCTGGTCTCGAACTGACTTCAAGTGATGCACCTGCCTTGGCCTCCCAAAGTGCTAGGATTATAGGCATGAGCTACCGTGCCCGGCTGCCACTCTTTAAAGAAAGCAGTAATTTGCCCTTTTTAATGTGCCTCAGCCATACTCAAGTGGTCCACAGCACGGCCGTCACCTGAGAGCCTGTTAGGAAATGCTCTCCTCGGTGTGAGAAGGCCGGACCTCTGAACAGCATTCGCATCTCCCAAGACCCCAGGTGTCTCCCAGGCACATTCAAGCTCAGAATACCTTTCCAACTGCTCCCTGATTAGAACACTGCCTGAGAATTTAGGAATGCAAGCTCTTGGGCACCCCATCAAACCTACTGTGTCAAAGTCTTTGGTCCCAGCAATCAGGCAATTCTGATATAAAGTCTGAGAACCACAGTCTTAGAACTCTGTTTCCAAAACTGCTAAGAATAACCTAGAATGCTTGTTCACATGCTTGACTCGCCCTCTTCCTCCTATACACACCCGAGCCCCTGGGAAATGGCTCAGTAGATGGAAGAAGGGGCCCTCCCCGCACTTGGCCACAGGCATCCAGAAGTTCCCATATGCAGACGTCAAACTCTTGTTCCCAACCATTGTAGTTGTTTATGGTCCTAGATTCAGATGGGTCAGAGGCTCCTCTGAGGAAAACTTAAAATATTCCACCATTAGGTAGGATCCAAATAGACTCCATGCCAGAGATGCTATAAAATTATATTAGAAGTGAGGAGTAGAGGGTAGTGTTGCTAGGGTTAGCAAACAGAAATACAAGATGGCCAACTACTTTTGAATTTGCGAATACGCAAGTTTTTTTTTTTTTTTTTTTGAGACAGTCTTACTGTCGCCCAGGCTGGAGGGCAATGGCGTGATCTCGGCTCACTGCAACCTCTGCCTCCTGGGTTCAAGCAATTCTTGTACCTTGGCCTCCCGAGTAGCTGGGGCTACAGGCATGTTCCAAGCCCAGCTCATTTTAGTACTTTTAGTAGAGACGGGGTTACGCCATGTTGGTCAGGCTGGTCTCGAACCCCTGACCTCAAGTGATCCGCCTGCTTCGGCCTCCCAAAGTGCTGGGATTACAGGCATGAGCCACCACGCTGGGCCATCAACTCCATTCTTGAGCTCCATCTTTTCCACAGTCAGGCAGGCTTTCAAGTGAACTGAACTTGACAAATGCAGAGCAATTAAATTCTTTATTATAAAAATCTCAAAAATGTCCACCTTTACTGAAGGCCAATCTTCTGAAATGGGGTCAAAGGCAATCCTGCTGTTTCTCTCTGAAAGCTAAACTCCCTTATGATACTAGGAGAACACCCAGAATTTTATTCCCAGCCTTCGTGTGCAAAAGGCAGTTTGCATTCTTAGGAAACACCTAAGTGTCACCTAAACCATAAATATTTCCATCTACTCCATTCAACCCAGTTAAAGAAAACAAAATGATGAGAAAACTAGGAACTCAACAGAAATTTCACATCATTTTCTACTATTGTGAACATTCAAAGGTTGCTTCAAATTAAATACTTTTAATTATCATTCTAGCCAGGATCACACTAAATAGGATCTCATGACAGTTACATACGCAGCCATTTCACCTAAACTGTGGCACAGAGTGCTCTGCCATGAGTCACAAGAAGCACAGTGATCATCACCCACAAGGACAGGTTTGCTGGGGTGAGGCGCCCTTTGCTTTCATGTTTAGATTCTTCTCAGCTGCATCTCACTTTCCTAAAGGCCCCAGCCACACAGTTCTTTTAGGGATTAAAGTAGGAGGAAAAAAATAAAGAGAAGCCAACATCCATCCTTAAAGAAAAAAAGTAAATCCATTTGATGGTGAACTTCACCCACGGACAAATTTGGGATCAGTGTTCTCCAGTCTGAACATAGTCTTCTGTGACCTGGGAGAGTGTGGTCAGGTACTGCCAGCTCAGGGCAGCCAAGAGCATGACAAACGACAGGTAGATGGGGGAGTAGTGGCTTCGGGAGATCAGCTGACAGTTGGGAAGATTCTGCGTCCGGATGGTGGAGATGATCTGCCTTGTTTTACTAGAAGATGGGTCTGAGTCGGGGATTCTATGATAAATCTGTTAAAGACACAGGAAAAAATGGTAAGTGCTATGTGCTTTACATTTTCCATGGCTACTTACAATCCTCCACTGGTAGGTAGTTTATGCCTATTTTACCAATGAGGAAAGGGAGGCTCAGAGAACATGAAAGTAACTTACCCAAAGCCACCCCAATGATAAGGTGGGGATGTCAGCCCCAGCCTACTCGTCGCAAAGCCTGTCTTCCTGAGCAAACGGGAAGCACAGGTGTGCATACTGCACCCCGGAGGCCCTCAAGAGCAGCGGCTGAGCCACACTGATCTTCACATCCCCAGCACCTCACAGTGCCCTTCCAGGAGATAAGGTGAATAAATGAAGAGAAATCTCGGTTGTGACGGTCCCTGGTAATGCAATCAGTGGCAAAACTTTTGAGTCCTTTGATGATCACTTCTAATATATAAGCATGACAGCACAGCCGGAAGAAGCTGCAGTCACTGATCCTCAGACATGGCCTTACCTAAAACAGAGCCGCTAAGGCCAAAGGGACCTTCTAGATGCTTCGTTGCTAGCCCAAACCCCACTTTCCATTTACCTGAAGGCATACAGTAGGTTTTTGCAAACTCAATTATTCAGGTCTTAAAAACCTACCAGCCTCAGTCAAGGAGTTACATCTGCTTGTCAAGGACAGGTTATGGCAAACTTTTCATCTACATGCCTGGCATATAGTTGAAGCAAAAGAAATACTTGAGGGGTTTGAGAAAGGGCCTCACTCTGCCCAGGCTGGAGTGCAGTGGTGCCATCTCAGCTCACTGCAACCTCCACCTCCCGAGTTCAAGCGATTCTCATGTCTCAGGCTCCCAAACAGCTGGGATTACAAGTGTGTGCACCACCACGCTTGGCTAAATTTTGTATTTTCAATAGAGATGGGGTTTCACCATATTGGCCAGGTTGGTCTCGAACTCCGGACCTCAAGTGATCTGCCTGCCTCAGCCTCCCAAAGTGTTGGGATTACAGGTGTGAGCCACAGTGCCGGGCCTGATGATTAAATGACAGAGGCTCCTGTAAGTGCTTACTGGACTGAAATAAGCTCTTGTGCAATGCTGTGCTACCGGAGCTCCTCTGTGAGTCCATGTGGTACTTCCAGGTCTCAGCAGTTCTACTTACAACAATAGAATATGGAATCAGCTTGATAATCATTTAAAACTCTCATCTATGAATATCTAAACTCCCATTAAAGCAAAAACATCATTTGGAAAAAAACAAAAAAAGGCAGATTCTGATTCGACAGGTTTGGGTGGGGGCTGATGTCTAACGGGCTCCCAGGTGATTCCCAGCGGCTGCTGGCTGGGACCATCCTTGAGCAGCGAGGCACCTGGGGTCCAAAGAGCTTGATGATGCTCTGACTTAACCACAGGAGGGGCACAGGAAGTGTGCAGAGACACGAACAAGATTCTCCCTGCCAAGGAATCACTTTGGCAGAGAGGGGAATGGGGGTTTCTGGCCGTTTGGCTGAGCATTTATTTATATCCCAAAATAGCAGGTTGATCTTCTCCCCAACTGACAGGCGTCCAGGCTGGTTTAAAGCGGCAGCTGCTCCAGGGTGGGGTGAGGGCCCTGCAGAGTGTGGCCACCTGCTTGGGAAGGCCTGGGGCTGCACTCCCAAGTCCTCAACTAAGCACTGGAGATGCATGAGGAGGTCCTCTGGCAAGTCCCTTCCAGGTGCATGCTCGTTACAACACTAAGTCCAGAGATCCTACAGTCAGCATTTCCTCCTCTCTTACTGCAAAGGACAGACTCGGTCAGCGAGGAGAAACAGGATCAGTGTTCATATCTGGACACCAGCAAGAGGCCAGACGACTTGTGGCTTCATACAAAATGTTTTCATTTAAAACTTTACTTGTAAAATGTCCTTACTGCTGAAACTAAAACCATTAACAGGTTCTGTGGCTTAAGACTTAGAAATCTTCATAGATTTTTCTAAATCAAATCAACTTAAGTATTAATATTAACATTTCTCCCCAAATGCCTTGAGTTTTACTTGGATAACTTTAAACAAAACAACTGATGCCCTAAGCCAGAGGTCAGCAAACCTCTTATTCAAGGGCCAAAAAATATTTTTAGCTTTACAAGTCATCCCCGTTGCAGCTCCTCAACTTGGCCGTTACATTGCAAAAGCAGCCACAGAAGATACAGAAGCAAATGGGTGTGGCTGTATTCAGATAAACTTTATTCACAAAAACAGGGCTCGGCCAGCTGTGGGTTGTCCACCCTGACCCTCAAACTATGAATTACCACTAGGATTTAATTCCAATAGTTAAGGAAAAATCAAATACATCTGAATTTTAATATAGTAATGGAATTGGCCACAAAGTGTTTAAAAACTGGTTTCTAAAACTAGTGATCAGAATAAAACTGCAAAACCGAAACACTCTGAACTTACTATATAAAATGTTTCTAATTTATATAAAATGAAGAAATGGTGCTTAATATGGCAGGATTCCATTTAGAAAGGGTAGTTGAACCCCTTAGAATTGGGGTTAACATCATGGATTCTGATGTCAGACAGACCTGGGTTCAAATTATCACTGCAGCCATGAGGCTGGGGCTCAAGTTTCCCTGAGATTACTCCTATCCACCTACTCAGTCACTACCCCAGGCACATAGCTCAAAATAAGTCCTGGCTACATGGCAAACTGGAGAGCCTCCTTGGTAGCAATTTTTTTGGTCAGTGGCTGAATACTTTCATCTAGTGACTATAAAATTTTAGGATTTTTAAAAGCAATTTGGTCTTCTGTTAGACTTCTATAGGTGCCTCTGATGTTTTGGACATCAGCATTTCTATGACAGACAGAAGGTAGGGAGGAAATAGAAGGACAATATGCAACATGCAAGAGAAATCAGAAATAGCTATTTTGTATAATTCTATTTAGATGAAAACACTGTTGCAAACCATATTCCTGTAAAGGCATAACAAGGGGACTAGAAGGATGTACAAAACCATGGACCGTGGTAACTTCTGGGGAGGGAGCTCAGGCAAAGGAAAAATGATGAGCTTCCTGTATGTTTTCATAAAGTCTATAGTGTTTCAATCTCAACAAGATCACACCTGAGGATCACAGCATCATCCTGGGCCTCTACTCACCAGATGCCAGGAGCACCCGATTCCTGTCCTCTTGTGGGAGGGGAGCAAATCACCTCCATTTACAAACCACTGCTCTAGGGTCTAGAGATTACTAGAGATTACAGAGACTTCTGGTTTCTAAGAAGTAAATTTTTTTTTTGAGACAAAGTCTCACTCTATCACCCAGGCTAGAGTGCAATGATGAGATAACAGCTCACTGTAGCCTCGACCTCCCAGGCTCAAGTGATCCACCTGCCTCAGCCTCCTGAGGCAGCTGAGACCACAGGCGTGCACCATCATGATCAGCTAATTTTTAAATTATTTGTAGAAATGGGGTCTTGCTATATCACCCAGGCTGGTCTTAAATTCCTGGCCTCAAGTGATCCTCCCACCTTGGTCTCCCAAAGTGCTGAGATTTCAGGAGTGAGATACTGTGCCTGGCCAGAAATAAATTTTCTGAACCTAGTCAGATATTAGAGATTTGACCTGAGAAGGTATGTTTTCTTTTTATAGGATGCTTTTGGTACTTGAAATGAAATTTTCCAAAGAAAATTTAGGAAATAACTGCAACTGGATGGCTTTCGTTGGCCTAAATTCCCTACTGTGATTTTTCAATTGAAGCCTGTGACATAATGAAAGTACCCGACTGGGAGTCAGAACACATGGACCAGGAGCCAGAGATCCACTCAATCGCGTACTGCATCAGCACAGACAAGCTTCAACCTCACATTCCTCACCATCAGCAAGAAGCTTGGTTGGCCTCCGGCATCATCTTGCAGCTCAAAATCTAAGATTGTATTCAAGGGCTCCATCCTACAGTCTTGCTCTATTTATCTCCTCTCACCAGGGTACTACACAGCAGTGAGCAATCTGCTCGACTCCTGTGCATAGATTTTTTTCCTAACAAAGGATATCAATTCCTGTCTCTTCAGGCCATAGGACAGTGAGTTGTTAGGATCATCTAATATCCAAACATGTTTAAACAGTGACATTACTAAATCATAAAAGTAGCTACAAATTATCCAAGCAGTTAAATAAAAACCCACCTCTTCCATATACTGATATATGATGGCTTTGACAGCTGGCATATTGGTGGCATCCATCATCAGGGTCACCGCTTGCCCTTTCCGAATCTTCACTGCCCCTTTGAACACCTGCTGGTTATTGTAACAGGCAGCCAAAGTGGCAATGGCCATCACCTACAGAGAGCAAGAAGAGAGGGGAAAAAAGAAGAGATGGTGTTGTAAGCTATCATCATCACAAAAAGGTAAGAAAACCTTCTGTCGAACGGGCAATTGCTAACTGCTAATGAACTAAGATGTAATTAATCAAGAAAAAATACCCACGAAGAAAGTATGCCAAGATTTTTACCTTCTCCACTCCTGCCTTTCTCAACAACACACAGAATTAAGCAGCGTAAAACAACTCTACAGTTTAGCCACAAAAGTTCCATTTTATTTGGAAAAAGGAAACACAAGTAAATCCAACATTTTCCATGCTAGAGCAATGGATTATTAGATCTGAAATATCTATTTCAAAATAATATATGGAAAGAATTTTCTGTTTTACTTGTTTTTCTATTTTCCTACAACAAACATAATCATTACATATTTAAAACTAATGCCAGGGGGAGAACAACAGAAGGGGATTAATTTCTTGTGCTTAAAGATAAACTATTTCTAGGTAAATTGAAACATAAGACAAGGATATAGATTTTACTTTCAACCACCATTCCAAGTTGGTCATTAGAACAAGATCAAACCAAGTTCCCAAATCAGTTAAATGCTATTACTTTCTTCACTTATTTGCAGTAGTATCTGAAATACTTGGTAAAGGCAACTAAAAAGTGTTAAGTTCCTAGCATACTGAGGGACTAGGTCTACAGGACCAGGTTCTTGTTATCCTGGGTCTAGGAAAAGGACAGCAATAATTAGATGCTTAACGAAGACATTTTAATGATAACAGCCTCACCCATGTTTTACCCAGCACTCCCCATAAATCTAGGCCAAAGACCTTGACTTAACTGAGGATAAGAACCTAACTAGTTTAGAACAGCTGTGGAAAAGAGGAAATCCAGAAAGAAGGTTCTGAAAAGGAGCAGGCTTAACCTCAAGGCTGAGCTGAGTCTGGGAGCTCGAAGCAAAGCGGGGTGCTATGAAACCACCAGCAAAATCAACTGGAGCCATCATCTTTTTAAGGAATCAGATCCTTGAATACAGCATAGCAAAATCCACCCTTACACCAACCCCACTCCCTTTAGCCCCATATCCACCCAGAGGAGTCCCATTCCCTACCTGTGGAATAGCACAGAAGTTAAACACACTCTGGTTTCTGAGTCTTGAAAGGTAGGTGATGACATCTGGGATGTGGTGCAGTGCATTGGTTATAAGTTCATTCAGGCACTGCACGGCCAAGTCAATATTCTCAGGCTTAGCAAAATCCCCTAACTTCTTAACATACCTGCTCCAAACCTAGACAGATAAGATTAAGGAACAGGTCAGCATGTGCATAGGGGAGAATTTATAAACAATATTAAAGGATCTTTGTGCATAAGAACTATGATACAGGCCGGGCGCGGTGGTTCACGCCTGTAATCCCAGCACTTTGGGAGGCTGCGGAGGGTGGATCATGAGGTCAGGAGCTCAAGACCAGCCTGGCCAAGGTGGTGAAACCCTGTCTCTACTAAAAATACAAATATTTGCTGGGTGCGGTGGCAAAAAAAAACCTATGATATACAGTAAAGTCTCTCTTAGCTGCAGACTCATCCTCCACCAAGATCAAGTTCATTTTAAGCTCCATGCAATGGCTATTTCTGACTACCAGTAAGGGTCCATTTGCAACCTAGGAGTGAGTTAAGTATTGGAGAACATGTCTTTCTGGACAATTAGGGCAATGCTGCACTACTTGGACGAATTCAGACTAAAGCAGCTCCTGTTAGAGCTGTCGGTCTACTTCTGACAAAAATAACCCAATATACAAAAATAGTTATAATTGTACTGCAGACTAAACATTAAACATTCTCAAGATGGCCAGGCCTCTAAATAATGACTAACATTCTATTCCTACTCTGGTAAGAATGCTGCTGAAAGGCATACCTGGGAAACAAGCTAAGTCTATCCTCTAAGTGTATTACCTCCCTGGATCCTGATAATTAGAAAGTAAAATAAAACCCTCAGTTCTAACAGTGGGATTCGGCTTGATGATTTTTAATGATATTATTTAGAGGATTCTCTGAAGCTAGCAAAAGTTCTGGAAAGATAGCGTTGACGGTTATATAACATCATTAATGTACTTAATGCCACTGAATGATACACTTAAAAATAGTTAAAATGGCAAATTCTCTATTATGTACATTATAAATAAGAAAATGTTAAGTATATATACATACAGTTAAAAAGAGATAACAAGAAGTGTTGGTGAGGATGTGGAGAAACTGGAACTCTCACACTGCCGATGGGAATGTAAAATGGTGGGGCCACCTTGGAAAAGGGTATGGCAGCTCCTCACAAGGTTCGAGCTGTTGTATGAACCAGCCATTCCACTTCTCAGTATAGACCCAAGAAAAAGGAAAACACACATCCACACAAAACCTATTCACCATAGCCAAAAAAAATGGAAAGAACCCAAATATCCTTCAACTGATGAATGGATAAATGTGGTCTGTCCACACAGTGGAATAATACTGGGCAATAAAAAGGAATGAAGCACTGATGCAATGCCCCAGCATGGAAGAGCCCTGAAAACACACTAGCAAAAGAAGCCAATCACCTAGGACCACATTTGGCATGATTTAACTACTATGAAATGTCCAGAACCTTTATTAAGCATTCTGTGCTGGAAGTTCATCTCATTTTATTCACACCACCACACTGTGGTAGAAATAATTCTATTTTACAGATAAAGGAAGTGAATGAGAAGAGCAGGGCTCTGCGCCCGTGTGTGCAGGATGGTGTGGCTCATGCTCATGAATCACATGCCCGTGGCTGATGTTCTGTCTGGGAGACAATGGAACAGTGGTCAGGTGCTGGCCGAGGAGCCGGGAGACTGAGACTCCACTTCCAAGACGGCCACTGCCTCACTGTGCATCCCCAGACAAACCCCTTCCCTTTTTGGAGTCCTGTTGTCAGCAAAAGATGGGTAGACAAGAGTGGTTTCTCAACCCTGGCTTAGGAAACTTAAAAGGCCGTGGCCGAGCTCTGGGTAGTGTTTTTGTTTTTGTTTTTTTTAGAGACAAGGGTCTTGCTCTGTCACCCAGGCTGCTAGAATGCAGTGGTGTGATCGTGGTTCACTGCAGCCTTGAACTCCTGGGCTCAGGAAATCCTCCTGCCTCAGTCTTTCAAGGAGCTAGAACTATACGGTCATGCCACTATGCCCAGCTAATTTTTAAATTTTTTTTTTTAATGGTGTCTCGCTCTGTCACTCAGGCTGGAGTGCAGTGATGCGATCTCAGCTCACTGCAACCTCTGCCTCCTGGGTTTGAGCGATTCTCCTGCATCAGCCTCCTAAGTAGCTGGCACTCCAGGCATATGCCACCATGCTTGGCTGATTTTTGTAATTTTAGCAGAGACGGAGTTTTGCCATGTTGGCCAGGCTGGTCTCAAGCGCCTGACCTCAAGTGATCCGCTCACCTGGGCCCCTCAAAGTGCTGGGATTATAGGCGGGGAGTCACTGCGCCGGGCCAATTTTTACTTTTTTTTTTTTTATATAAAGACAGGGTCTCACTACGTTGTCCAGGCTGTTCTTGATATCCTGGCTTCAGTGATGTTCCCGCCTTGGCCTCCAGGTGTGGAGATTACAGGCGTGAGCCACCACACCCAGCCCCCAGGCTAGTTTAAATGTGAATTTTTCTTAGGAGTAAGACTCAGCATCTTTTCAGATTTTTAATAATCATCTGCATGTGTCTTGCTGTGAACAATCTGTTCTTATCTCCTTGCCCATTTTTCTATGGGGCAGTTGGTCTTTTTCTTAACTTTTAGAAGTTCTTTTCATATTAGGAATATGAACCCTTTATCTGCTCTATGAATTGCAAATATTGTTTCCCCCTTTGTCACTTGTTTTTCTTGAGATGGTTTCATTCTGCCACCTGGGCTGAAGTGCAGTGGTGTGATCATAACTCACTACAACCCTGAGCTCCTGGGCTCAAGGGATCCTTGTGCCTCAGCCTCCTGAATAGCTAGGAATACAGGTACATGCCACCATGCCCAATTAATTTTTTAAATTTAGTTTTTTTCTACTTTCTTTAATTTTTATTTTTGCTCTTTCAGCAGAATCATTTTCAAAAAATTTTGGTAGAGATGGTGTCTTGCTGTGTTGCTCAGGCTGGTCTTGAACTCCTGGCCTCAGCACTGGGATTACAAGTATGAGACGCCTCACTCATCTTTTTGAAAATTTAAAGTACTTGGCTGCAGGAAACAATTTTATGGAAAGCAAAAGGTAAATGCTGGAATAAATTCAGGAAACAGTCATAAAATTTTCTAGTTTCCTTCTGAACAAAATCAGTATCAAAACCTTTACGTTCCCTGTCCATGTTTTAATTAAGTTAAAGATCGACCCTTGTCTCTTATTACAGACACCTGGAGTGTTTTGTGTACCTGGCATCCCTTTCCCCTTCTTGCAGCAGAATTCTTTCTTTGGGGGAAATCCATTCTGTGTGTACTGTGTAGACATAACCCAGGTGAGGCCAGAGAACTCAGCTGCATAGCAACGGATTCAGGGCTGAGCAGAAGAACCAAGCCCTTCCTCTTTTTTTGAGATGGAGTCTCACTGTTGCCCAGGCTGGAGTGCAGTGGTGCAATCTGAGCTCACTGCAATCTCTGCTTCCTGGCGACTCTCCTGCCTCAGCCTCCCGGGTAGCTGGGATTACAGGTGTACACCACCATGCCTGGCTAATTTTTGTATTTTTTAGTAAAGACGGGGTTTCACTATGTTGGCCAGGCTGGTCTCGAATTGCTGACCTCAGGTGATCCGCCCACCTCGGCCTCCCAAAGTGTTGGGATTACAGGCGTAAGCCAGTGTGCCGGGCTGAACAAAGCCCTTCCTAAGAACTTTTTGGTAAGCTAGTGCACGTGGGTTGTTATCATATCCACCGCCTGGAGAAAGACTGTCTGAAAGAAAGCAAGGACAGCAAGGCTTGAATATACTGATTACAACGTGTAAATCCTGCGATTTAGCCAGTCTACCTGAAGCACACTCATCTCAAACGATCCTATTTTCCACATCCTCTTATGTTGCCTGGGGGAGGTCTGACTTGTGCTTCTGTCACTCCCAACCTCAAGAGTGAAATGATTTTTCAGAGAATGTCTAAAATTTTTTTCCCCCAAAATACCCTGAATCTGTTACCTCTTGAGGCCAAAACTCTCTTCCTTCTTGCTGGTCTTCCAGATAGTCACGAATGATGTTTGTTTTCTGCAGAAACAGGCCCATAGAGTTGGCACGTTCCGTATCTTCACCAACTAAGGGGTCTTCGAACTCTGAAGCCGAGAAGAGGCGGGAAAGGCCGATTCCTACCAGCCCAGCGACATAGTGGCAGTACTGCAAGAGATGATGTTTAAAGTACTTTAATCATGGAATTTTTATTGAAAGGGACACACTAGAGATCATTAGCTCCAAAAAAGCAGGTTCGAAACAGAATGGGAAAGAATGCATTTTGATTTTAAAATACAAATATACATACCAGGATTTTAAAAAAACATACAAGAAAGATGTGCTCAAAGATTTAACAGCGGTCTCTGGCTGATGGGAATCTGATGTTTTTATTTTTTACCTGTATTTTCTTTTTTTTTTTGAGACGGAGTCTCGCTCTGTCGCCCAGGCTGGAGTGCAGTGGCGCAATCTCGGCTCACTGCAAGCTCCGCCTCCCGGGTTCATGCCATTCTCCTGCCTCAGCCTCCCGAGTAGCTGGGACTACAGGCGCCCGCCCCTGCGCCCAGCTAATTTTTTCTATTTTTAGTAGAGACGGGGTTTCACCATGGTCTCGATCTCCTGACCTTGTGATCCGCCCACCTCGGCCTCCCAAAGTGCTGAGATTACAGGCGTGAGCCACCACGCCCGGCCTTTACCTGTATTTTCTAAATTTCTACAATGCACATGTACTGCTACTATAATAAAAGGCTATTGAAAAAAACTAGTCTAGTAAACATTTTTTATTTTATTTTATTATTATTTTTTAAGAGATGGAGTCTCATACGTTGCCCACGTTAGACTCAAACTCCTGGGCTCAAGCAATCTTTATGCCTCAGCTTCCCAAATAGCTGGGATTGTAGGCAAACACCACTGTGTCTAGCCTTACCTTACAATAAACTTTTTTTTTTTTTTTTTTTTTTTTAGATCAAGTCTCACTTTGTCACCTGGGCTGCAGTGCAGTGGCACAATCTCGACTCACTGCAACCTCTGCCTCCTGGGTTCAAGTGATTCTCCTGCCTCAGCCTCCTGAGTAGCTGGGATTATAGACGCCCACCACCATGTCCAGCAAATTTTTGTATTTTTAGTAGAGACAGGGTTTCACCATGTTGGCCATGCTGGTCTTGAACTCCTGACCTCAAATGATCTGCCCGCCTTGGCCTCCCAAACTGCTGGAATTACAGGCCCAAGACACCATGCCCGGCCTAGCTTTACAATAAACTTTTTGATACATAAAATTGTGAGAGAAGGCAACGATGAATGATGGAATATTCTGGCTAACAGAAACTAAGACAATACTAAGTATAGTTGAATCTTTTTTTGACCAACCTGAAAACATTTCAAGATCTGCAGGCCCTCAGAATCACCATTATATGAAAGAACAAATAACTATCATATGTTCTTGACACTGTTTTAAGAACTTTGCACATTCAATCCTCACAAACATTTATCAGGTACATAGCACTATGATCTCCATTTCAGATGAGGAAACTGAGGCACAAAGAAGTTAATTAACTTGCCCAACATTGCCCATCTGAGAAAAAAAAAAATTAGCCAGGCAGGGTGGCACATGCCAGTGGTCCCAGTTACTCAGGAGGCTGAAGTAGGAGGATCACTTGAACCCAGGAAGGTGGGGCTGCCATGTTTGTGGCAGGGGCTAAGGGTTCAAAACTAGGTAGTCTGACTTAAGTGTCAGGCTTTAACAACTTTGCTAAAACTTCCCCCTTTTTTTTCTTTTTAATCTTTCTTTTAGAGATAGCGTAACTTCCCCTCTCTCAACAGAGATTTCAGTAAATGCAAGTCTTAATTGTCAAATACTTTTTTTCCAAGACACCAATTTGTTAAAAGTTATCCTCCTCTGAAAAGGGTATCCTAAGACAACTTAACACAACATTCACATACAATAATTGTCTATTAGTTAACTTAAGAAGAGAAAAGTAAAGAAGGTAAGCTCTGGAGTGTCATTAGGAAGGGTAAAAGTTCGGCAATGACCAAAGTTCACCCCTGTAATCCCAGAATTTTGGGAGGCTGTGGAGAGGGGATTGCTTGAGCCCAGGAGTTTTAGACCAAGCCTGGCCAACAAAGCAAGACCCTAGCTCTGTAAAAAATTTTAAAAGGCTGACTGTGGTGGCTCACACCTGGGAGGCCAAGGCAGGTGGATTGCTTGAGTCCAGGAGCTCAAGACCAGCCTGGGCAACATGATGAAAACCTGTCTCTACCAAAAAATTACAAAAATTAGCCAGGTGTGGTGGTGTGCACCGATAGTCCCAGCTAATCGGGAGGTGGAGGTGAGAGGACTGCTTGAGCGCAGAAGGTCGAGGCTGTAGTCAGCCTTGATCATGCCACTGCACTCCAGCCTGAGCGACAGAGCAAGACCCTGTCTCAAAAACAATACAAATTAAAATAGATTAGCCAGGCACGGTAGCAACATGCCTGTGGTCCCAGTTACTCACGAGGCTGAGGCAAGGAAGATTGCTTGAGCCTGGGAGGTCAAGGCCGCCTTGTTTGGGCCACTGGATTCCAGTTTACGTGACAGAGTGAGACCCTGTCTCAAAAAAAAAAAAGTCGTCTCTGATTGAAAGTAACACAAGGCCAGAGACTAATTGGGGGCACAATGAACAGGCGAAGAGAAAGCACTTGAAATTTGTTCTAGGAGAAAAGTAACATGAAAAAAGTAACATTTTGCTGAAATTACGTGTAAATAAATTAGCTTTGGGCAGCTATACAAAATCTTAAAAAGAATTACTAGAAATTTTAAAAAATCATTAGTATATCTATAGTACTATCCAAAAATATATTTTAAGATAATAGTTCTTTTGGTAGAAATACTCCTAAAATGGAGACGTATATAATTCATCTTCCTCCAAAGTTGAAGAAAAAAAATAACTCCTTAAAATATTTGGCTGGGTGCAGTAGTAGCTTATGCCTGTAATCCCAACATTTGGGAGGCTGGAGTGGGAGGACTGTTTGATGTCAGGAGTTTGAGACTAGCCTGGGCAACATGGCAAAACCCTCTCTCTACAAAAAAAAAAAATACAAAAATTAGCCTGGTATGGTGGCATGCACCTGTAGTTACAGCTACTTAGGAGGCTGAGGTGGGAGGATCATTTGAGCCCAGGAGGTTGAGGCTGCAGTGAGCTGTGATCACACCACTACACACCAGCCTGGATGACAGAGCAAGACCCTGTCTCAAAAAAATTCAGTTTTATCTGATCAGAACGTCTATTCAACAATTAAGTTTCCTGAATAAAGCTGCACAACAGAAAATGAAGTTACTATCATAACCAGTGCTGGTTCTTGGCCAGAAGTTTTAACTTCAACTTTATTTTCTTTCAGATGGGGTCTTGCTCTGTCACCCCGGTTGGAGTGCAGTGGCACAATCATGGCTCACTGCAACCTTGAACTCTCAGGCTCAAGCAATCCTCCCACACCTCAGCCTCCAGAGTAGCTGGGACCACAGGCACATGCCACCAATGCCCTGCTAATTTTTTAATTTTTTGAGGGATGGGGTCTCGCTATGTTGCTTAGGCTTGTGTCGAACTCCTGGGCTCAAATGATCCTCTCACCTTCGCTTCCCAAAGGGCTGAGATTACAGGTAAACCACAGTGCTGAGATTACAGGTAAACCACAGTGCCCGGCTAACTTCACCTTAAATGCAGAAATTGATTTCTAGCACTCATTATATGCTGTTAACTTGGGAAGCACAAACCAGCAGTTCCAAAGACGTTGCTGTTATGTTTTGAGGTTTGAAAAATTAAGAGGCCCAAGACCTTGGACCCACTAACTTGGTGACTATGTAGCAGCATCTCTTTGGAGATCCTAATTTAAGCACTGTTAAAGGTATGAAATACATCAACACTTTAGATGTTTGAAATGTCTTTGATTGTTCAGTTTGACTGGCTTTAAAATAAATTAATAAAATGTCTTTGCTTCCACAGAGGTGATAAGTCTCGCAAACACCATTCCTATGAAAAATAGGCAAGACTCCTAACCCTACCTTATGTTTTGATGTGTAGTTTAATCTTCATGGTCAATTACATCCCTTTGTCTAGATAATCACTTCTCTCCAGCCCCTCCTCCTCACCTGGCCGATATCCTACATAGCTGCTGGTTTGGAATCACCTCTGGAACCAAGTGTTTAGGAGACATTCAACCTAAACAGATGAATTGTAAAACCAGAGGGCCTGGAACTAGCGAACAAGTTTTCTTGTTCTGCGCTTCACTGTGAGGACTGCTAGCTGTGTCTAATACATCACACCCAGACACTGTTTTACAAGACTGACCTTGTCCCACTCCTGCTCAGAGGTCACATGCTTATCCAAAAATTCTGCCATCCCAATTCCCATTCTCTGGCAAATGTCGGCAATCACCGTTTGGTATTTCTCAGCCAGATTTCTAAACTCGAGGGAGATCTGAAATAGAAACCGTAAAAACACAGAAATCATGAAATATGTACAGACATGGCACCAAAGATCACAAGGCAAACAATGGTGGAATTAATTATCACTCTGCAGTGGTTCATCTATAAGCCTAATTTAGGTCATACATGTTTTGTTTTTGTTTGAGACGGAGTCCCGCAATGTTGCCCGGGCTGGAGTGCAATGGCGCGATCTCAGCTCACTGCAAACTCCGCCTCCCGGGTTCAAATGATTCTCCTGCCTCGGCCTCCCGAATAGCTGGGATTACAGGAATGCACCACCACGCCCAGCTAATTTTTATATTTTTAGTAGAAATGGGGTTTCACCATGCTGGCTAGGCTGGTCTCAAACTCCTGACCTCATGATCCACCAGCCTTGGCCTCCCAAACTGCTGGGATTACAGGTGTGAGCTACTGTGCCCAGCCTCATGTTTCTTATTATTCCATAAATTTTATAAATATTCTAATAGAAGGGTCTAAAAATGCTAATGTTTCTAGATTAAAAAGAAGATTCAAAGTCTCACTACACATTTCATCTTTCCAATGTATAATGAGATGCTTCAACATAAAGAAAGCTGGGTATAAGAATTTTAGGGAGAACAGCTTGTTTAGACAAACCTCATTATGAGAAAGATTCATTTGTGCAAACATGGATCAAGCACTTCCTATGTAACAAGTATCATTCTAGGCACTGGGGATGTACATCACAGACACAAACAGAAACTCAGACCTGGAGCTGCTTCCAAGATGCCCAAATAGGAACAGCTCTGGTCTACAGCTCCAGCAAGATCAACACAGACAATGGGTGATTTCTGCATTTCCACCTGAGGTACCTGGTGCATCTCATTGGGACTGGCTGGACAGTGGGTGCAGCCTACGGAGGGCAAGCTGAAGCAGGGCGGGGCATCGCCTCACCCGGGAAGCACAAGGGGTCAGGGGATTTCCCTTTCTTAGCCAAGGAAAGTCGTGAGTGACTGTACCTGGAGGAACAGTACACCTCTACCCAAATACTGCGCTTTTCCCACGGTCTTCACAACTGGCAGACCAGGTGATTCCCTCCAGTGCCTGGCTTGGCGGGTCCCATGCCCATGGAGCCTTGCTCGCTGCTAGCACAGCAGTCTGAGATCAAGTTGGGATGCTGGAGCTTGGCGAGGGGAGGCACGTCTGCCATTGCTGAGGCTTGAATAGGCAGTTCTATGTTCACAGTGTAAACAAAGCAGCAGGGAAGCTCAAACTGGGAGGAGTCCACCACAGCTCAGCAAGTCCTACTGCCTCTCTAGATTCCACTTCTGCGAGAAGGGCATATCTAAACAAAAGGCAGCGGACAGCTTCTGCAGACTTAAGCGTCCCTGCCTGACAGCTCTGAAGACAGCAGTGGTTCTCCCAGCATGGTGTTCGAACTCCGATAATGGACAGACTGCCTCCTCAAGTGGGTCCCTGACCTCCATGTAGCCTGATTGGGAGACTCCTCCCAGTAGGGGCCAACAGACACCTCATACAGGTGGATGCCCCTCTTGGACGAAGCTTCCAGAGAAGGATCAGGCAGCAATATTTGCTGTTCTGCAGCCTCTGCTGGTGATACCCAGGCAAACAGGGTCTAGAGTGAACTTTCAGCGAACTCCAACAGACCTGCAGCTGACGGGCCTCTCTGTTAGAAGGAAAACTAACAAACAGAAAGGAATAGTATCAACATCAACAAAAACGACATCCACACCAAAACCCCATCCATAGGTCACCAACATCAAAGACCAAAGGTAGATAAGATGGGGAGAAATCAGAGCAGAAATGCTGAAAATTCCAAAAACCAAAACACCACTTCTCCTCCAAAGGAACGGAACTCCTCACCAGCAAGGGAACAAAACTGGATGAATGAGTTTGAGGAATTGACAGAAGTAGGCTTCAGAAGGTTGGTAATAACAAACTTCTCCGAGCTAAAGGAGCACGTTCTGACCCATCACAAGGAAGCTTAAAACCTTGAAAAAAGGTTGGACAAATGGCTAACTAGAATAACCAGTGTAGAGAAGAGCTTAAATGACCTGATGGAGCTGAAAACCACAGTACGAGAACTTCGTGAAGCATAGACAAGCCTCAAGAGCTGATTTGATCAGGTGGAAGAAAGGATATCGGTGACTGAAGATCACATTAATGAAATAAAGCAAGAAGACAAGATTAGAGAGAGAAGAGTGAAAAGAAATGAACAAAGCCTTCAGGAAAATATGGGACTATGTGAAAAGACCAAATCTACATTTGATTTGTGTACCTGAATATGGTGTACCCTACATTTGATTGGTGTACCTGAATATTGGTGTACCTGAATATGGGATTATGTGAAAAGACCAAATCTACATTTGATTGGTGTACCTGAAAGTAATGGGGAGAATGGAACCAAGTTAGAAAACATTCCTCACAATATTATCCAGGCCTAGCAAGGCAGGCCAACATTCAAATTCAGGAAATACAGAGAACACCACAAAGATACTCCTTGAGAAGAGCAGTCCCAAGATACATAATTGTCAGATTCACCAAGGTTGAAATGAAGGAAAAAATGTTAAAGGCAGCCATAGAGAAAGGTCGGGTTACCCACAAAAGGAAGCCCATCAGACTAACAGCAGATCTCTCGGCAGAAACCCTACCAGCCAGAAGAGGGTGGGGGCCAATATTCAACACTCTCAAAAGAATTTTCAACCCACAATCTCATATCCAGCCAAACTAAGCTTCATAAGTGAAGGACAAATAAAATCCTTTACAGACAAACAAATGCTCAGAGAGTTTGTCACCACCAGGCCTGCGTTACAAGAGCTCCTGAAGGAAGCACTAAACATGGAAAGGAACAACCAGCACCAGCCACTGCAAAAACATGCCAAATTGTAAAGACCATCGACACTATGAAGAAACTACATCAACTAATGGGCAAAATAACCAGCTACCATCATAATGACAGGATCAAATTCAAACATAACAATATTACCTTAAATGTAAATGGGCTAAATGCCCCAATTAAAAGACACAGACTGGCAAACTGGATAAAGAGTCAAGACCCATCAGTGTGTTGTATTCAGGAGACCTATCTCACGTGCAAAGACACAGACAGACTCAAAATAAACGGATGGAGGAAGATCTACCAAGCAAATGGAAAGCAAAAAAAAAAGTATCCTAGACTCTGATAAAACAGACTTTAAATCAACAAAGATCAAAAGAGACAAAGAAGGCCACTACATAATGGTAAAGAGATAAATTCAACAAGAAGAGCTATCCTAAATATATATGCACCCAATACAGGAGCACCCAGATTCATAAAGCAAGTCCTTAGAGACCTACAAAGAGACTTAGGCTCCCACACAATAATAATGGGAGACTTTAACACTCCACTGTCATATCAGACAACAGATCAATGAGACAGAAGGTTAACAAGGATATCCGGGACTTGAACTCAGCTCTGCACCAAGCAGACCTAACAGACATCTACAGAACTCTCCACCCCATATCAATAGAATATACATTCTTCTCAGCACCACATTACACTTATTCTAAAATTGACCACATAATTGGAAGTAAAACACTCCTCAGCAAATGTAAAAGAACAGAAATTATAACAAACTGTCTCTCAGACCACAGTGCAACCAAATTAGAACTTAGGATTAATAAACTCACTCAAAACCACACATCTACAAGGAAACTGAACAACCTGCTCCTGAATGACTACTGGGTAAATAACGAAATGAAGGCAGAAATAAAGATGTTCTTTGAAACCAAAGAGAACAAAGACACAACATACCAGAATGTCTGGGACACATTTAAAGCAGTGTGGAGAGGGAAATTTATAGCACTAAATGCCTGCAAGAGAAAGCAAGAAAGATCTAAAATCGACACCCTAACATCACAATTAAAAGAATTAGAGAAGCAAGAGCAAACACATTGAAGAGTCAGCAGAAGGCAAGAAATAACTAAGATCAGAGTAGAACTGAAGGAGATACAGACACAAAAAACCCTTCAAAAAAATCAATGAATCCAGAAGCTGGTTTTTTGAAAAGATCAACAAAATTGATAGACTGCTAGCAAGACTAATAAAGAAAAGAGAGAAGAATCAAATAGACATAATAAAAAATGATTAAGGGGATATCACCACTGATCCCACAGAAATACAAACTACGATCAGAGAATACTATAAACACCTCTACATAAATAAACTAGAAAATCTAGAAGAAATGGAGAAATTCCTGGACACGTACACCCTTCCAAGACTAAACCAGGAAGAGGTTGAATCTCTGAATAGACCAATAACAGGTTCTGAAATTGAGGCAACTTACCAACCAAAGAAAGTCCAGGACCAGACAGATTCACAGCCAAATTCTACCAGAGGTACAAAGAGGAGCTGGTACCATTCCTTCTGAAACTATTCCAATCAAAAGAAAAAGAGGGACTCCTCCCTAACTCATTTTATGAGGCCAGCATCATCCTGATACCAAAGCCTGGCAGAGACACAACAAAAAAAGAGAATTTTAGGCCAATATCCCTGATGAACATTAATGCGAAAATCCCAATAAAATACTGGCAAATCGAATCCAGCAGCGCATCAAAAAGCTTATCCACCCCAATCAAATCAGCTTCATCCCTGGGATGTAAGATTGGTTCAATACATGCAAATCAAAAAACGTAATCCATCACATAAACAGAACCAATGACAACCACATGATTATCTCAATAGACGTAGAAAAGGCCTTTGACAAAATTCAACAGTCTTTCATGCTAAAAACTCTCAATAAACTAGGTATTGATGGAACGTATCTCAAAATAACAAGGGCGATTTATGACAAACCCACAGCCAATATCATACTGAATGGGCAAAAACTGGAAGCATTCCCTTTGAAAACCTGCACAAGACAAGGATGCCCTCTCTCACCACTCCTATTCAACACAGTAATGGAAGTTCTGGCCAGGGCAATCAGGCAAGAGAAAGAAACAAAGAGCATTCAGTTAGGAAAAGAGGAAGTCAAA